TTTCAACACGCACCTCTTCTCTTGCAAAATTCCGCAGTCACATCGAAGCTGGTTTGTGGATGGCCTCGAGAACACGTCACATTGGGTATGAAATGGATTTGCGGCTCAAACACTCACATTGAGTGGGCCATCCCCCATGTCTAGAGGAAACTAGTCTTGCAAGGGGCCCATTCTATTCACGAAAGCTAGCCTTAGCTAGCTGGAGTTGCTCTTGCTTTAGCAAGTTAAGTGACGGGGTGGACGCACCTCAGAAACCTCAAATAATTGATTAAATCAATCTTATGGACCCCCCCCCCCCCCGCGGTTCGACTCCCCCCTGCGCGCGGTGAGCGGGACCACCAAGCAGCTGCAGCACACCAAGCATCTGCAGCGCCCAGCGCAGCAGCGGCAGCAGCAGCAGCAGCATACCCAACGCCGCGGCAGCAGCAGCCGCAGCAGACCACCCAGCGCCAGCAGCAGCAGCAGCAGCAGCAGCAGACGACCCGGCGCCTGCAGAGCACCCAGCGCAGCAGCGCCCAGCGCAGCAGCGGCAGCAGCAGCACCAGCAGCAGCAGCACCAGCAGCAGACCACCGGAAGCCCGGCTAGCTTTCGTTCACCCCCTCTGGCCTCAAGTAGTTTTGGACACAGGTATCTGACAAACAAGGCCACCATCTCAACATGTTTACGACCGATGACAACCTCAAGTGTTTGTTGTAGCACGCCTCCAGCAGAGATTGGACAAGCTCAATGACCATTAGCACTGGTCTTCATCGGATTCTGCAGTGGAGCTGGGCCATTTCTCGAAGAGACTGGTGGGTTCATGGTTTCTCCTCTCGGCAGGAGACGGAACTAGGTGATTATGAAGAAGGCCTGGGGCCATAAAGGGTGGAAAGGACGCTGGCGTGAGTACAGTTGGGTGACTTAATAGATTGTTCATGATGTTTAGATGGTAAACTTCAATGGGATATGTGCCATTTACAACAAATTGCTCCAGGATTGTCCACTTAACTTGAAGTGCTTTTGGACTAAATGACTGGTTGCACTTCCAAGGGCGCAGCCTGCCACCCTTGGCAGGCCTTGCCATTGGAGCATGTGCCACATTGGTTGATGAAAGCACCTGAAAGCCGCATCGTCTGACGGACGTCTTTGCCCGGGCACCAGCTTGGTGGATACGATTCACCAGCTTGGGGATCAAGGTGGATTCGTGAAACGAAAGCACCAAACATCGCTGATTTCTGGCAGGTCATAGAGCTATAGGTATACCAAGACCATTCTGTTCATGCTGTATACTTCGTGATTTTGGGACACTTTCCCCAGCACATTCTGCCAAGTGCCACATGTACAGGAGGTTCTTCATCCAGAGAAGTATCCAAGGAGCGGCCTCACGCGTTGGGAATCCCCGCAACGTCAGGGAAATCTGGGAGATCAAGGAATCGAGGAACCCTGTAAACCAGACGTCATGAAGTTCAACTGGATCATCAAATCATGCTCCTAATATGAATCGATTGAAACGCCTACAATAGCAGACCATAGCTTGTGTAGACTGGACCCCATTGCTTGTGTAGAGGGGCAGCAGAGGGCTGGTATGCTGCATGCGTCATTATTACACATTGATATGTTTGAATAGATTTGACCCCGCAATAAACCCATCATAACCTATCATAACCTTGATGGATTCTCAGTGAGTCAAAACTACTGCTGTCAAGTGGGGTTGAGACAGGGAACAGGGAATGGAACACGACGGGACTGCCAAAAGACCTCTTTGAAAGACCTATGACCTATCTAAAATTAAAATTATGCTTATATCAAACGTGTTGATCGGTGGCACAAGTAGTTTTGACATGTTTTGACCACCCCTCATGTAGTAGGTAATTACTCCAAGGATTCCAAAGAGGTTCAAGAACCGCACGTTCGTGCAGTGGCAAGCCATTGCTCTAAGGGGCTGTGACCATCCATGAGTGACCAAGGGCTTAAGTGACTACGCATCAATTATACAGCATAGACTTAGACTCAGACCCGTGGAAGAACTGAAGAGAAAACTAGTATAAGATAGTCCATATATGATATATGGAACCGAGAGATGTCGGGATGGCATTGTAGTGTCAGATCAAAGGTAGCTGAGATCGGTGAGTGTCAGTGCTTTGGTAGAGGTTCTGTACCAGACATTCGCAGAGTCGCAGATGGTGTGCGTCCCGGTGAGTGACGCAAAGCCAGTTGAAGCAAGTAACTAATTCACTCCATGTATGCCATATATGCCTACATTGACCCCTCAAACCACCAAAATGTAGGCAACTATGACATACATGGAGGGTCTGGGGAGTAATTAATTGCTTTTAATACGGCTTCCCCTGGCACGCCCTGACACTTTGAAAAAGATGCAACACATCTGACTGCACTGACGGGCAAACTGCGGAACACGTAGAGCCTTCAAAGTTTGACAAGAAACTTTTCCAACGCTGAGGCGGTCAAAGAGCCATACAGAGGGTGTTTGGATGTTTTTGTGACACCGTGACACCCAGCCCGTTTTTCTTCCAAATAGGGAAGACATGCGAAGACAGTGTTCTCACCCACCTCTCTTCCAGTCTCACATCCATCAGGCCCGTGGTCTACCGATCTTCACGTCCTCTCATGCCCGATCTTCGGGTCGAGCTGTGGTCGCGCCAGGATTGTCCTTGGCGCTTTGGAGACGTGTTGACCTTCAAGCTCAGCATGCAGGACGTGGATGGAGAAGCAATGGTCGTTTTCTGATCGGTCGAGGAAGCACTGGGGTTGAGGACCGGGAGGAAGCATCATGACCATGACCATGATCTGGTGTGATCACATGACCTTTGAACTAGTGTGGAATAGTGTGAATATTATGAGTGCAGATGGAGGTCCATATTATATAAATTAAGTACCTTTTTGGGGTTGGTCGTTCTCCTGTTTTGGTCGTTCCAAACTCTGCAAGCTAGACAAAGATCCAGAGAAGAAATGCCCATGATCTCACTCAACCAATCTGACAAATGTTTCTCCGATACTCCTTTGCAGAACTTCCCCGGTAAATGCGAAGAAATGCCCAAGTAAAGAAGTTCTATGGCTATGGTCATGAGACTCGGACGATACTCGGCAGATACTCCAAGTATGTCTATTTCCCGGAAAGGAGCGGACTACCAGATGTGAGATACTCCGCAGATGGGAGGCTCTATGACATGACCAGAGAATTGGTCTCTAGCCCCCTCATGTTCTAGATATACACCATTTCACCGATTCCCCATGAAATCCTGGATAGACACCATTTCCGTTGAAGGATTGTTCTGAAGCTGCTTACACCAGATCATGGTGTGGTTTGGGTCATGTCCATAGGCAAGATTTGATGTTTGGAATCGACCGAAACAGACACGAAGACAGGCCACTCGAAGACCCTGGCAATTCAAGTGGGACAGCCCCTTTGCCGTTCCTTTGCCCCACTTGCTTCAAGAACAGCTGCAAGCGTCAAAAAGACTCCAAGAACAACGAAAACAGCTGCAGCAAACATGGGGCACACATTCTTGGAAGACGGATTCTCTCCTAGGGGGGGGAAAGAAGAACAGAAACAACATGAAGCAATGAAGCAACAACACATGTTCAACCAACAAGACAAGAAGACCCTCCTCCCCTCCCGGCCCCCGGTGGTCCCGCAGGAGCTGCAGGGCCCAGGGCTGAAGTTAAAGCTCCGCGCCGTGAGCGACCTGATGCCTGGGAGACCTGGGAGACCGGACTCTGTTCGGACCAGGCCAGGTGCAAACAGGAAGACACAGTTTTTGATGTTATGGACGTGTTATTTTCTACGTGTTTCTCAGTTTTAGTCAGTTTTTGTTGGGTGGCCTGGTTTCTAGCTTGATCTAACTTGTAACTCCAAGTTGTTCTTGTAGATAGTTGCTTTGGTCGCTGGTTTTATCCTTCTGGTCAATGAAGGAGACCTCGATTTATCCTTCGCCATGGAGATGCTGGTTAAGTGGATTGTTTGGTCGACTCAGAGCCCTTCCCATGGTTGGACAAAATTCCATGGATGTTTGCCTAGTTCGAATGTGATCGCGCAGAATTTTCCCTCCATCCCTCTCAAGATGGTGGGCTTCCGACCTTGGTCGGGCAGTCTTTTTGAGGCAGAAACCAGAGTGGCCAGAGCCTGATGTTGTACTGTAATTTAGAAGAAGAATGTGTTTTGGACCATGTTGAATCCACCGCCTTCGACGGGATATTGTTGGAGAAACAACATTGGAACAGAAACACCTTGGTGTAGAGGGAAGCAAACCATTTGTGGTCTTGAAGCTTCTGTTCGAGCTCGCTTAGTAGGATGTTTCGAACCCCCGGCGAAATTTCAAGGAGTTCGTTGCCCGGGCGGTCGTTCACACAGCTCCTAAGAATGGCCCAGAAGTGTTCTGCAGGTTGATGTCCATGATATGTGCGTTGATGTTCAGGGCAGTTGGTTTAGTCACAGATTATTTTGGTCAGCGTGGTCAATTTCAGGGGCTTGCCTTGGCTGTCAATCCCACTCAAACAGGAGTTCAATGCAGAAGAAGCGATACACATACAGTACGATACTCGACTACTCGCAGAATTGGAAGGCCTAGACCTTCAGGCTGAGCCAGGCCCCCTACTAAACCGCCTGGCTGAGCTGCTGGTGCCCGTTGGTCCTGTGCCCGCTGGTGAAGCATTAAGATACCCAGACGCGTGTGAGCACATGCGAGACGCAGAGACGCCTCCTTACTTTTCAATCGTTTCGATCATGGATGAGCATGTTCAGGTTCCTACAATTCCATACAATTCCTATAGTTCTCCAATAGTCACAGTGCGAAAACATCGGGGAACAAACAGAAAACACATCACATTGAGGTGCACCAACCCAAAAGCTCATCCTTGGACTCCTCTCCCTTGGCTCAGAGGCCACCTGCGACCAAGACGGTCCGTGGCGTAGCACAGCAGCGAAAACGCTTCGCGCCCACACCGGGTCGTCCCCACGCGCCCGCAGCGCGGTGCTCGCCGATTCGGAGACCATGGTGCCATGAAGACCGTGGTGCTCGCGTGGCGTGGCACTACGGACGTAGCGTCGTCGTCGTTGGAGTCCGTGAGACTAGATGTTGCAACTAGAGAATCATGTTTGGGATTCCATTTATAATTCCCCATTCTTCTTTCCCCATTCTTCCAGGTTTGTTGCTTGGTTTGGATGGTGTTGAACATGTCCTTGGCTTTTCATCCGGGAGTCGCGTGAGTGACTAAGTCATCTCTACTGGGTCTCTAAGTTGCCTCGTGGTACATGTGAATCTGGAGGACTTGCCAAACACTAGAGTTCCCTTGGTCGTACGGGTGCGTACGTGTGTGTGTGTGTGTTCTTTGCAAAGATGATGTATACTGTATACTGGTTTATTGTGTCTACCGTGTATATTTTATATTAGTGTCCATGTGTGTTCTTTTCCTTCCACAACTATGGAGAAGATGAGAGGATCATTCACCACATCCAGTCATCAGAGATGTTCAGAGAGTCTTTTTGCGTGAGTTTGTGTATCTGGACTGGACTGTTGGAGCAAGTTGAAGCTTCAATGGACGTGGAACCAGCCAACACATCGAGTCTCCATCGCTGAGGTTATGGGCTATACTACTTCTTCTGCTGGCGAGAGTCATTGACGCTTGGACGAATATTGTGATTGTTTTGGAGTACTCACATTGTTCCATCTTTGTGTGAACATGAGTGATGTACCCTAGGGACATCTTGACAAATGTTATTTCCCTGATATATTAGAGGCCCCCATAAATCTATCCAGTGACACAATCGGCTTCCACGATGTATTAAAATGTGATCGGGCATGTACATAACTCTTTGTCTCTAGATACAGCGCAAAACTCTCCATGAGGTCTGACCCCCATTCAAACACCGCTGTGACCCCCACCCACCATTCGCTCCGGCACCCCTCAGGATCGGGCACGCTGGCGGACGCTTCCCAGGTGCGTTTCCGGATGAATCGGGTCGGATGCCACGACGAGGGTCGTGAGGTCGTGCGAAGGGATGGCGGTTCTGAGTTAGTTTGGTCTTCGGTGCAGAGTAGAACTTGAAGACATCAGCATGGTTTTTGGATTTGGGCCGGGCTTGTTCATATATATATATATATATATGGCTACTGTTTCTGGGTTTCTTTCAATCTCTTGGCTACCGAGACTACTTGTTTTCTCGGTCTTCTTCACTGAGAGCGCGACATGACCCGCCTCCAGGCAGAGGCTGATCAACTCCTTGCGCAGGGACACCCAGCACGGTGGTGGGCGAAGCGTTTGGGTGATCCTAGAACCGTCGGGTCGACTCAAGGTCAAGCCGGTTTCGTGCACGTTTGGTGTAGAACTACAACTAGGGTATATGAGGGGACTGGACCAAATATGTTTTGCAGGCTTTATGAAGTCATGTAGCACCTTTGGGGTACGTTTTATGAATGAGTCATAATGAGTCTGCCTTAGGTCAATGATTCCAGTCCCAAAAGAAAGGTTGCGTCTTGAAATAGGGAGTCCTCCAAGGCAGTTCGGCCCTGGAAGGCTCGAAAAACAGACCCAATTATACCCATTGGGGTGATCGGGTGTCTCCCTCTTAAAATACATACAGATATAGGACAGGAATAATTGACTTAAGGTAGACTCAATGATTCACAAACCAAACCCCATACTTGGGACTTGTTTTCAAGCTCTTCAGCAGGGTTTGACATATAGTCATCAATTTGGGTCAACTGAATCCAAGAGTTACCCATCGCCTTGGGGTCAACTTGAACCCATACCCATCGCCTTGGTGTGATGGTTGCGACCCATGACCCACATCGCAGGGTCCGCGCGTACTCGTTTCGTGGGACGAGTCACTGAGCGAAGCGTGTGGACGATCCCCCACGAAGAGACCCGGATGGGGTCCTCAAAGCCTGCGGAAGCAAGCCACTGGTGCAAACCAACCCACCTTGCAGATGCCTGCAGTTGCCCGCACGCAACTGCAGGGCTGCATGCAGTTCCGTGAGTTCATGCACCCTTTTCTCGCCCTTGAAATCACTCATCATAGCACACAGCAGTTCTGGCTATCCCTAGGGCTCCAAGTACCTGGAGCCCCAACGGGAAACCCCCAGGCCTTGCGGAGAACTCAGACCTGGTGGAGGTGGGATCTTCTCCGCCTGGGGGATTGGCCCCCATTGGAACGGTCATGGCCATTCTGGTTCTTTGAACAAGTCCTTTTAAGCATAAAGGTGCTTAACACGAAGCTTCTGGTGCTTTATGGTCCCTCAAGTCCTTTCTTTCAACAAACAAGTCCTTTGTGAGCGACACAAAGGACTTGTTTGAACAAGTCCTTTCCAGTCCTTTTAACGTTTGGTTAAGTTTTGTTGATGTCTCCACCCTGGTGACCTGGTGCTACACATCGGGTCTCTTTAAGCTTTGCCACCCAACTCGAGACTCTGTGGGAGTCCAGTGAGTCCAGTGATCCCGGAGGCCTTTAGCATCTAAGAAACACATGCCCTATGGATCGAGTCGTACCTTGTCAGAAGGTACGACTGGACCCGACGTTTTGGCACCTACAGAACGGTGTCGAACACATCACCTTCTGAGAAGGTACGACTGGATCCCTAGGGATGTGGTTTTGCTTGTGGTACAGTTAGATGCACTGGGCCAGGTTTTGCATGGGCATCCCAAAACGTGTTGCAGAGAATCAACATCCAGGAATAGGCCCATGGTTCTGCTGGTCATAGGCGTCGTTTTTCCGGGTTGAGTGTCGGAGTGATCATTGGTTGAACCAACCCGTGGTTCTTGAACCGTCGCAGCCACAATGAAGTCACAGCCACAATGGTTTGTAGAGAAATGAGCAGAAACAAAATAAACAAATGCACTTCAGTCAAGCCTGCTGTCTCTTGGGCTCTTTCTGAGAGATGCGATGGCTTTTGGAAGACCGGCCTTGGTGGTGTTTCTTCACCGTTGGTTTGTTGTCTCTTCACCGTTGGTTCTAGGTGATGGTTTCGGAGATTTTGATGTTCAACCCTTACTTGGGGATGATTGGACCCTCTGACTGATTTTTTTCAAGTGGTTTGAAAACACCAACCAGTAGTTGCTTTTGCTTGACAATTCAGTGGTGTCCTTGCTGTCTTCTCCAGGAGGAGAATCGCCGGCTGCAGTATGATGAGAACGAAAGCGACTGGAACAGTAGCTCACAGCGGTGGAGATATAGAAACACTTTTTTTGTTTGTGTGTTTGCTTGCTGCTTTGGTCGATTGACTTGGGATCTAGTATGTTATGTCAAGTTTCTCGGCGTTAAAAAAGAAGTTGAACATGGTTCAGTGTCAATTGCATGTTTCAGCTGTAAGTCGGGGAGCAAGTAGAGAAACCCATTTAGTTCCGTCTTCATCACTCGCTTTCCTCAGGTAGCAATGAGACGTCGGAAGTGAACTCCACGACGTCCACCAGTTCCACTGTGACCAGCACCAGCAGCACCCAAACACTGACAACCAGTACAGACACTGTGACCTGGGCGGAACACTGTGTGCGGGTCATCAAACATGCGTGCGGATGTTGGGCGTCCGTGTGCGGGTCGGTGGTCCGTGGGCACGCACGACGCGATAGACGCGATAGACTCAGTGGTTGACGTGGTGGTTTCATCAGGATCAGTGGAGCTGAAGGGTTTCATCAGACTGATCTGCTGGGCTTTAAGGAGGTTTTGGAGCCGCACACGATGTGGGTTTACCAAATGTAAACCCCTGGGTTTGACTCGGTCATGTGGATGAATGCACTTGGACCACATAGACCAGTCATTCTTATAGGAATGCGGACCCTTCTTCCGGCACCAAAGGCATCACAGCAATTGCTGGAACTCGATCTTTCGAGGATGGGAGGGTACCACAGGATGGGACGTCCCAGCACCACATGTTTGGGAACTCTTGGACAGAACAGATCCATGTTCACTGACCCGAACGCCCCAATCCACACGGACCGGTCGGCGCCCGTGACCGGTGATTGGACTGGTCGCATCTGAGGTGACCACACGGACCCGGACCACCAGCACGCGGACGACGCGGACACGCACAAGCAGCACCAGCAGCAGCGTGACACGCACGAGCAGCACCAGTAGCAGTGTGACCAGGACCACCACCAGCAGTACCAAGACGACTGTGACGGTCACGAGCAGTACCTCTAGTGGCCTGGAAGGCATTGTAAAGGTGTTTGTTGCTTGTCATCTGGGGGAAGTAGCCTAAGCTTATCATCTGGGGGAAGTAGCCTAAGCCGGCTGTGGAAGCTATCGCAAAAGCTGCGGGACAGGGTGGCTTGATGTGTCCATGGGTCTCGCGATTGTGGATTTGTTGTGTCGTTGGGCCCCACGCAATTGAACCATATTGAACCATCCAGGTGAATGGGATTGAAAGGGGATAACTTACTCACTCAAGGTTAGAAATCATGAATCCCCTTACCATTGGACATTAATGGTGGTCCCTTTGCACGCCTTTTTGTCCGTCTTGACCATTCAAGGCACTGTGACTAGCACTAGTAGCACAGTGACCACGAGCAGTTGGACGAGCACCAGCAGCACTGCCACCTCCACGTCAACTTGGAGCACCACGAGCACCACGACTTTGTGGGGTGACTCGACCCGACTTGTAGATCCAACAGGTGGCTGGCGTCGAGCAGTGGTAGACGTGAGCACTCGTTTTTCGCGGATCCAACGGTGGATGCGGAGGAAACAGCTGGATGTGGCTCCACGATTCGCGGATCCCGCGGTGGGATTTCCGCGTTTTGGGAGACCGATGCCATCCGCCAGAAAGGTGTGGAGCTATGAGATCCGCATGGCAGACGATTGAGAGTCTGAGAGCTCCATTTCACTGAAACGCTTCCCCGATGTTTGTGGTGTTGAAGTTGGGGTGTTGAAGTTGCGGTAGTGGGACCGGAAAACATGCAAACACACCGTTGAAGTTTAAATATGCCAAATCCTTTCGAGTCTTGGATTGGGTTTGGGCTTGGGTACTTGTGGACGAATTGTTAATGAGTTGCGACGTGTCGATAAGGAAGATGGTGATAAAAGGGAGGCTACATAATATGGATCTAACATGATGAATCCTAAGTGTTGGAGGCCTTCCCTCAACAGAGAAGCCCACATTGTTTTGCTAAACAAAGGACACATATCACGTCTATAAGTCTGTATTAGGATGTTGGTTCAACCGCTTCAACAAAGGGCCCATTGCGTGTGGTCACTCAATTCTTTGACCAGTTGTTGTGTAATCCCACCAAACTCCAGAAACGGAAACCATTAGAAACAGATACAACACCCCCCCTTCACATAGAGGGGAAAAAGAAAAATAGAATAAAAACACCATGTCCACCTCCTCCTCCCCGTCCTCCTCCTCCCAACGGCCGGCTGCAAGAGACCGGGGCCCTCACCCGACCCGGTCGAGTGGATCGAAGGGACCCCCAAAAGCTATCAAACGTGTATTGGGAACTGGTTCCTCTTAACAGGAACAGGTGGAAACAGATGGTGAACCGAAAGGAGCTCTAGATCATGGCATGCTTTGCCAAGAACCCGTATACTTGGTCTTCGTCGCGTTCCCGCTCGGCGTTCCGTTCGCCCCAAAGACGGCCCTTCAGCACTCCCGCGTCCGTCGACGATGAAGACCGATGTGTCCGAGGCGATGTGCTCTTGGCCTTGGATTTCACCGTCCATCCGCCCGAGCGATGGCAGTTGCAGCACTTCGCTGCGGAGCTGGCGCTGAACGTGGCCCGCCAAAAGGAGGAAGGAAGCGGGAGACTTTGGAGCGGAGTGAAGACCCCCAAAGCCCAACGAAGCCCATTTCGCCTGTGGTGCAGTGAGCTTGTGCTTGATGTGGGTGTGTAATTAAAATAGGGAGACTCCCCAAAGAGCCCCTGGAAGAAGGAACATGCACCAGTCTACCCAGTACTTTGGGTGTCTCCCTATTGAACATGCACCACCATGTTTGTCTTGGACCTTTAGAAGTTGAAGTCCCACATTCTTCCTGTCTAGTGAGTCGAGTGAAAGTCCAGTGAGTCATTTAGCTTTTGTGACACGGGCTTCTCTGCGGCCGGTGGGAGGAGATTGGATCTACGATCCATCCCTTCAAGACCGGACCCAAATAGCCATCCTTGTTGGAACTGCCAGGAGTTGAAAGGGGTGAGCATTGGACCCTCTAAGTGGATTCTACATGACACCCCTCTCACACTCGAAGCACCTTTCGTCCGTTGGTCATATATTGGTCATCCTGTTTATTTCTTCTTTGATCCCAAGAAAGGCATGCAAATGCCACGTGAGAAACCTTTTGGTGCCCCACTCCGACGAACACATCAGATAAAAGGCATGGCCTTGGACCCTGAAGGATGACTATCATCCTTTAGGAACAGAGTAGTTTCCACTTCCATCTGTCAGTGAGTTGGAATGTATATCATTACCCGTGTGTAGCTTGTGTTTAGCTCGTGGATGGTTCGTACCCCAGACCAGTTAGCCAAACCGTCTCACGCGTGAGCTTGCCAGCATGAAAAAGAACAGGTTCAAGGCAAATCAGCTACTTCAGAAGCATGAGAAAGACCATCTTTTTGAGGTCTCTCAGAGCGTGCTCGCAGAGAGCCAGAAGCGCGTGCACTTCGGCGTGGTGCTCTTTGGGCAGGACGACCCCAGCATCGATGTTGCGAAAATCCCAGACCATCCGTGGGACTGGTACAAAATAGTTCCAGCAATAGTTCCATTTACCCTTAAAACATCTTTAAACATCTAAACAACAAGAAAACACATGTAAATAGGCAAATAGGCCGTACATGGATGGTTAAGGGAATGGGATGACAAAACTCACTGTAGCGGTTATGAGTGAGTCACCAAATTATGATGATGGATGTATTACTCGTGAGTGGACCCGTCACTGGTTTTGGAGCTGCGGGCCGGTCCTTGGCAGATCAGCTTTGAAGATTCTCAGCCAACAAAGCTTACTGTAGAACTATAATGAACTATATACTATATATCTATAATTATATACATAACTTTTTTGGGGGGGTCCATACATAGGCGACTGGCTAGACCCTTGGCTGGTGAAGTGCAAAAGCTCTGGAAATTCCATCGTCCCATCGTCCAAAAGCGCCAGGATGTGAGCTACTTTCCGCTGCCGGTGGACGAGGCGAAGTTGAACAACTTGGTCCTGGACCCTGAGCTAGGCCAGTCGTGAACTGGACGATCCCGGGCGTCCCGGACGCGGAGGCCCTGCTCCAGGTGGGTGAGTATATTCAGCATAGTGCTCCAGGGCCCTCCAAATGCAGTGGTCTTCACGGAATTAGAAGAATCAGCACTGTAGCTTGTACTGTAGTAATACTACTTTTTGTGATTTGTTGGGGTGGGATGCGAATGATGGCACAGTCTCAGGAGTCTAGAGCGCTTCAACAATATACCACGGCACAAGGGGCTGCTTCATGCGGAAATGCCTCAAGATCCTGAGGGTGTTCATGAACACCAGCCTGTAACTTGGCCTCTTCTAGCGCTAAATTCTGAATTTGCTATATCCATGAGGCTCTCTTCCAACAGTTCCAGTTAGACTCCAGTTGGCATCGGCTTCCCACTCATTCCACCTCTCCTTCTTCGTGCAGGTGCACAGGTGTCCCCTCGTCCACCGCGCTACACGCACGAAGCCTTGAGCTTGTGCGAATCGGTCTTGACCGGGAGGCAGGGAAGACGCGCGCGCGGCGACCATTTCTAAGCGGCTTGGCAGCGAAGAAAGTGGCCTGTTTCGCACAATTGGAAGGTCTGAAGAAGCAAAGAAAGACCTGCAAAAAGAGTGGGATAAAAAGGGTATATAAGGCCTAGCTGAGTTGGACCGAAAGCGACTGGAGATGGGGAAAGCGTCTTCTATAGCCAAGCTTGGCACGCGCGGAACCGATAAATCTCCTGCGATCTCAAGAGGCTATAAGAGTTGCTGGGCCCCCCCGAAAGATGTCCAACCCCTTTTCTATACTGTATACACCGAGAGAGCGAGGGGGGGGGCGGTCAAAGGTGTTTGGCCCACCTGTTGGAGCTCTAGCTATATACTTTGACCACAAGATCTGTGGGTGGACCGCAAAAGAACCGCAACCGAACCTCCTTCCTTTCGGACACCCGACAGCCCTATCAATAGTAAACCCCCAAAAAACGGGTGGTCCTGAAGTATAGAATAGACTATAGCAGTATCGATAGAATAGAGTCGTACCCGTTTTATCTGAACCTCAAGTGATTCAGAAAGCATGGCAGGGTGTTGAACACCCTTTTTCCCAAAGAATCGCCCCCCAGGTCCTCAGGAGTGAATGAGTCGGACCGTGAAGCTGCCTCCTTCGGACCGGTTACTGTAAGCCGACAGAATGGACCGCTGCTTCGGAGTCGGGCACTCTTCGAATCGCTTCTGGCCGATCTCTCGATGTTTACACCCCTGTTTTGTCCAAAAACCATCTGTTGGAGGGTGCTGGTGCTTTGATCAACTCCGATTGATGGCTTGGAGTCGGCGCAGCACATCCTCTTTCGCCGAAGAGTTCGGCCCGTGCTGCCGCATGAAGAGTGGCAGGTATGCACAGGTCCAAGTGGTGGTCATTCTGACGAAGCTCGCCAGTTGGGTCGTCGCCCCGACTTCGGAGGGTGCCGGCGATGGGTTTCGGTGGCCCCAAAGACCGAAGGAATGACAGAGCTGGGTTCGTCCAATATAGGAAGTGAAGTAGAGGGAAATCGTTTCATCTACTGTATTATATTATACCACGAGCTGGAATCATATGAGGTGGGAGATTTCTTGCAACCGAAATGACTCCAGCCACTGGAGCGCCCAAGGGGTCTTCGGAAGTTGTGAGTCAAATAGACTGTCAGTATTCCAGTCCCATGTTAAGAGGTCCCACCATCTTTATAGGAGGTAGGATGTCCTAAGTGCCTTGCCGGATGTCTTGACCAGGGGCGTGGACAAGAAGACAGATTGTTCCGGCTGAGTGTTTGGTTGGACGCATAGAGCCCCAAAGTGCTTCAGCACCCAGAACAAACATGAACAAACTGCTGATGGACAATCATCCGGAGCCGGGCTCAGCCACGCTTCCGGTGCCTGTCTTTTACAGCATATCTGGGGGTTCGTGATGGGTCGTGTAGGGTTTCTTAAATAAGCGAAGGATCCCATCGCCTCATCAACTACGTAGGCCCAAAAAGGTGCAGAAGATGCTGAAAGACATGGGCTCGTCCTAAATTTCCACGAGTCGCGATTGGGTTGGCACAATAGCTTCCAAAGACCAAGAAGCTGTCAATTTGTTGTATCCCCCAAACGAAGTTGCTAACTGAATGGTCTATCCCCCTTCCAAAGACCAAGAAGTGGCTAATGGTCAGACAGGCTTGTTTTGCACTGAGTGCTAAATGATGTGATTGGAAGGTTATGTATGACTTTGACTTCACACCTAAACAGCCTGGGCGTAGACTTCTTCTGGAATACTTGGGTGGCACATCGAACCTGGTTGAACCTTTTACATAGTAACTCAGTGCAATCCCAGATCCTTTTGCATATATTGCATCCACTCCACACCCCGGCTCGAAATCCCATTTTGACCAGTTTTGAAAACACCCATTTGTCCCCATCACTTGGAAATAGCATACACCAAGAGTACTCATGGGTGTTCAAGGGGGATTTTGATTCTCACCATCCCTCATTTGGACTCTGAACTGAACCCTAAAAGAGGAAAGAACGAACAATATCTAGATTTCAAGAACCACAATAAATGAATAGACCATGACATCATGACCCCCCGCTCTGAATACAAAAAACACACAACACATTGATACATACTTCGAACCCCTCCTTGACCTCCTGGGACGATTCGCCCATCTGTTGGATGGGTCACCATGCTGTTATAAACAGCTATCAAGCTTGCTAAGCAAGCCGTCACCATGATGCCAGCTTCGCTCCTTCCTTCCCCGTCACCTTCCGACCCGACCCGCTTCGCTTCGTCGGAACCAGGAACGGCCTCTCGGCTGACCCGGTCCTCACCCGTCGAAGCGCGCAAGACCTGCACGCGCGGCAGGTCGGGTGGACGGCTGGGGGAGATCGGAGATCCCTTAGCTGATGTGCATAACCACGGTGATGACGATGTTAGATGCTTAGGTGTCTTTTCTTGGTTCTTCGATTTGTCCTACCGTGTGTGTGTGTGTGTGTGTGTGTTTTTTTTGTTTTACATATATATTATATATATACAGTAATTACAGTACTTAAATACCCCATGCAATTCACAAACATCTAATGGAGCGAGATTGACCTACGCTTGGAGTTCATTCCAGGTGTCATGCCGCACAACTCTCTCAGAAAACCAAGCACAAGCTTTTGAAAAGTTCTTATCTATGGTTTTTATCTACTAATGCTTCAGATGATCATGTTCATTTCGAAACCGACCAATCTCTTCCCAATTCTGCTCCTACACTGATGCCCCCCTGTCTCCTATGTCCAAGAAAAACACGCCCGCCCGGGCACAGGGCTCTTCACGCATTCAAACAGGTGAGACTCTTCTCTGTGGGCATGGACAACGTCTCGGACCGGCAGTCCGTGCGATGGATGGAGTTGGAGGACCTGACACTGAAGCAGCACCTCCAACGAACACGGGCAGACGCTACGAACGCGCGAACACGGGGAGCGCTGGAGACGGGGGAGACTATGGAGTGAAGCAGACGAGAAACGAACTGGTAGGAGCACCAGGCTCCCATTCTGCTTGCGGGGTGCGTATACGGGTGGCAGGTGGTACTAGTAGGTAATGATTGGTGTGAATAAGAAATTCATTGCAAAGAAACCCTGTAGCGACCTTTTTTTTTCATTGCAATTAAGTGCCTAGATCAGTGAAGGAACCTGACCAAAACGCTGCACAGCGAGTGTCAGAGCAATTTCTCGCTGAGCAATTTCTCGCTGAGCAATTGGTGTTTCCATTGGAACGGTTACTGATACATGCACATGTTGATCCTTATTTTAGTCACTGTTCGTTCTGTTTGTTGTTTGTTCCGTAGCACGGCATGAAGGTATGATGCCTTCTACGTCAACGACTTTCTGGGCAATGACACCAATGACAGTGCTCAGAACGACACCAATGACGCGAGACGCAATCAGCATCCTCTTGGTCTCATGTTTGTCCACTGGGGCTAGCGATTGAGTTGATTTGACACATCTCTCACTCTGGGGCTTGAAGAACATGAGGGGAAAGCGCATTGGAAGATTTATTTTCAAAGATCCATGACTGGAATAGTAGACCATCCAGTGGGTTATCCAGTGCTTCCAAATGTTGGAATAGATGCACCCGTTCTTTTATGTGCAATTTATGTGTTTGTTTTACTTGGACTTTGAAGACGCAAACACTTCATGAAATGTTTGATCGTTTTTTCTACCGAGCTAGACGGTCTGAGACAGTTCGACCATGTTTCCGTGCAGGAAAACAAAGGGAAGACCGGGTTCCGGTTTCGGAACGTTTCGTTCCAAAACTCTAAAACTCTAAGAGCTCACATGCGAAACAATAGATTTTTCCCAAGAGATCCCTATAGATCCAGAGCTCCAGCGATGTGAATTTGTTTCCTCTTAAGCCGGTCATCTCGCCGGGACACGAGAGGTCGACGACTGTCGCTGCGAAGAGGTCGACTGTCGACTCGAAAGGTTCCAGGTAGAAACAAAAGGTTCCAGTGTTCGAAGGAGTGGCCAGAAGTGTTTTGAAGTCAATTTGGCCCATGGCATGGTGTTGTTCCACATGTGGCCACATGTGTCCAGAAAGTTCAAGATGCTTCAGAAACATCTTGAAATGAAGAAAGGCTCACCCGCAGGTTCTGGACTGAAGGAAGAGAAAGCCTGATCACAGGGGCCCGTCCTTGGGCCTGACGGAGATGGTCACCAGTTCGGTGGGTTGTGGGTTGGCAAAACATGCGCGCTAACCCCCAGACCGTTGTGGTGTACCGTAACCACCTTCAAATTCGCATAAAGCAACTTCGGCTTCTCAGTGTTTTGACTCACCTCCACTGGCTGAATTCATCCAGCTGGGCTGCTACAACCGAAACAATTCGCCGACCGAACAACAATCAAAACCCCTTGCATCAAGCTCCCAAGCTGCTTGGGGTAGGCGAATTAGATGGAGGTGGGAGAGAATGGACGATAAGATCCTTGCTTCTGGTGGGTAACAGGTTCACTGCGCCGGTGGGTAACCTTTCCCCGCTCCT